CTGAGCGTCGCTCCTCGGCCAAACCGGACCTCCACGTACCGACCGCAGCCTGGCGGGAAAGTCCCGGACACGGTGGACTGGAGGGAGAAGGGATGCGTCACGGATGTGAAGAATCAGGTGCGAAGCTCCCTCTGTGCCTCTTCGTGTCTCGGTCCCGTGCTTGGTCTGAGCATCTCTGGGGCTTTTGCCAGGGCGCCTGTGGGTCGTGCTGGGCGTTCAGTGCCGTGGGAGCCCTCGAAGCCCAGGTGAAGCTGAAGACGGGGAAGCTGGTGTCCCTGAGCACCCAGAACCTCGTTGACTGCACCAGGAGCTATGGGAACAACGGCTGCGGTGGCGGATGGAGAACCAAAGCTTTCCAGTACATCATCGACAACCGAGGGATTGACTCGGACGATTCCTACCCCTACACGGCTCAGGTAGGCATCGGACCTGGGCAATGCTTAAGCTGGCTCAGCTTAAAATGGAGGAATTAACAGTCCTGTTGCTTCCAGAGGAAATCCACTTTGGAAAACCATGGAATTGTCCGTCTTTAATGCCGCGAGCATTAGTTCTGACTGACATAACGCAGAGCAGGACTCTGCGCAGGATCTGACGCGTTTTCCCCCTTACCTTCCTTTGCCAGGACGGCGCGTGCCGCTACAACCCGACGGCGCGGGCAGCCACGTGTTCCAGGTACGTCGAGCTGCCGCACGGCGACGAAGCCGCGCTGAAGGATGCCGTCGCCAACGTGGGACCCATCTCTGTCAGCATCGATGCCAGTCAGCCCACCTTCTTCTTGTACAAAGCTGGTGGGTCTTCCAGGGGATCTCAAGAAAGGGATGTGCTTTCTTTCCCGTGACCCAGCTTCCTTAAATATAAATTGACGCAGCTTTGACTTGCGTTTAGCTCGTGTTGCCCTCATTCTTGGCCACAGGCATTGGTGACGCCTCCCAAAGAGTGAATTTAATTCCCGTTCGGGCAGCGACTTAGGGCAAGTTGTCCGAAGGCTGTTTCCAAATGCCTTCCAGGTATCTACCGTGACCCGAGCTGCTCTCAGAAGGTGAATCACGCCGTGCTCGTCATCGGCTACGGCTCTTCAGACGGGGAGGACTACTGGCTCGTGAAAAACAGGTACAGCAAACCCAGCCGCCGAGCAGCTTTTCCTTTCAGCCTCCGCTCCGAGGGGCACCCTGGAGGTTTCAAAGACGTGCCAGCGATGCGCTTTTAGATGCCCATCAGCTTTCTTTAGACGTGTTTAGGGCTCGGCTCCATCGCCACCGCGGTGTAAAGGGGCCTCGATTAAGCCCTAGAAACCTGAATCGACGTATGTCACCCAAAACGCTCCTGCCTAACTCCTCGGTGCTGCGAGGCGGCTCAAAAAATGGGATTTCTGCTCTGTAGGACATGCCAGGGTTTCCAGCTTTGAGTCAGCGCAAAGGGCTGGTGCTTCTCAGAGAGAGAAACCGAGCTGGTTTGATTTGGGGACATGCTGGCGAACCCCCTCCTTCGGCCAATTTGGAGGCACAGCCTCAAGGATCATTGCAGCCGGGCTGCCCCTTGCATTAAAGCGTATTTTGTGAACGTGTTTTTCACTGTCTAAAATGCAGAACAAGAAGAAACAAAGCGCTGAAACGAAAGAGTCCTGCTCAGACAGACACATCTCTGGAAAAAAACCAAACCTGCGATGTCAGCAAAGCTACATTCAGCAACTGAAAACCATTATCTTTTTTTAAAAAGAACAACAAAAAAAAATCCCCACTGTGGACAGTTCTGTCAACAAAGCTCCTTTATCCTCATGTCAGGGCTGGGCTAACCCCCCCCAGTTTCCTCCTCTGTCTCTCGTCTCTGTCCTTGGTAGGATTTTTTTTTTTTAAATAATGTATTTTTAATATACAAAACTAATCCATTCACCGTTACCTGGTGTTTCCCTGGTGGTCTTGACTCACTCCAGCACATAGAAAATAAGTGATTTTCCTCTGCACCCCCCTTAGAAGAGTTAGTGGCGACAAAATCTGGCAGGGAAGCAGTCAGGAGGTTCAGCCTTTTGGGCCAAAAGATGCGAATTCGGCTATTCCTGTGGCTGCTGGGGAGGAAGCATGAGTTGAACAAAAATTTAAAAAAAGGGGTGGGGAGAGAAAAAAGTGAGGGTGAGGGGTGGTGCGGAAGGAGGCAGCTGCCTCCTGTTGTCTGATTTCTGCTTCTTTCTTCTTCCAACAGTTGGGGTGCGCATTTTGGTGAGCAGGGCTATATCCGGATGGCGAGGAACCGCGGAAACCACTGCGGGATTGCCAGCTACGGCGCTTACCCCCAGATCTAGAGGGTTCCCTGCTTGAGGACGGGTCTTGAGATGCCACCACTCACCGCGCTGACCTCGAGCGCGCCTGGCTCTGACCCAGCCTTCCCGCCTTGAGGAATCCCCTTGCATTTCTACAGATAAGCAGCAGAAATTAGGAGCGATCGCAGTTGGCTTGTTCGAGGGTCTCATCAAGTATGACCACCTCATTCACCCTCCCCAGGAACTTACCCGCTAATAAGGGATAATCTGCTGGGAGTTATGGCAGTTATTTAGGTGGAGGGCTCTCTGTTGTCATCGCCGACTCTTGCAGTCTCTGGCAGCTTTTTAGAAAATGACTCAACTGCATCTTCAAAGCTCTTGAGAAACTGTTTTGCTTCCTCCGTTTCTCTTAGAAGATGGTTTCTTGCAGCCATTTTATGTCCCCTGGTGCTTCGTAGTGGTGGGAAATGCGCCCTCCTGCCTGGCTGTCCTTCGTGGGAACCCGCAGGATGCCCTGACCAGAGGCTGGAGCGTGATTTCCAGGCAGCTGGAGACTTTGCTTGACTGCGTTTTCAGCCTGACTGCAATGTAATGTGTATTAAATGTGTCCTCTGCCGTCCACGCGGCGCCGAGGCTGGCCAGCTCAGCTACATCCCATGACTGCATTTAAACCATGTCTTCCCATCTGTGCTACCCCGCCGTTAAAAGTGAATAAATGTGATTTTTTATTTTTATTCCACGCCCCCCCAAGAGCTGGCTTTGGTCTGGTCGGTACACCACTGAGCTGAGATGGGAGCTCACGTCTACCCAGTTCAAACCAGTAGCCAGGCTCCGTGCTTGACCTCATCCTGTCTCTTAGCTCAGCACCAAATCACAAAAATGCAAAAATCGTATCAGAGGAGCGTGACTCCTGCCCGCTGGCCCCGCAAGCCACATACACCACCGCGGGAGCCTTGCCGTTAATTTTTGGGGTGCTGGAAATAGGAAACTCTCGGCTGCAATCATTTTCTGATGTTATTGAGGGTACTGCTTCAAATAACCCCGTGACTGGCGCAGCAAGCCCAGTTCCCAGCAAAGTGAAAATGAAATCAGAGCATTTCCTGACTCGTGATTTGTCCAATGAGTTGCAGCTGCCGTGTGCCAGAGGTCCTGGGCACGGAACCAGTGGGGACGTGCTGGATTTGTCCCCGGCATCTCCCCTACCCCATACAGGCGCACTGCCCGGGGAGCTGAAGGTCGGTACCCGCCACCAGAAGCAGCCTTTTCAGGTACGTTGGGTGCTTTTGTATTTTAACGCTCTTCAGGGAGGACTGAACTTTGAGGAAGTAAAACTGAAGGAACAGTATTTGTGTGTTGACTCTGACTCCATCTTATCTCTAATCTCCCCCAAGCCCTCTCTGGGTAGTTGAATTGTTCGTAGTAGCCCATCCTCAGGAGCTGGTGGATCTCAGCTGGATGAAAACAGGATTTTTTGTTTTTGCTTTTCAAGGTGCTGGAAAACACAGGTTTGTCAAAACAGCCACTTGACCAGGCGATGCGTAAGCCTCCTTTGGGGAGGGTTTCTCGGGCAGGGTGGAACCGTGAGATGAGGCGCGTGTATGGATGTGTCCCTGCATGTCGGTGTCCGCATGGGCAGGGGTTGGGTCCAGCAGACTTCTCTCCCCAAGGGAAGCTTCCGAGTCCTGGATGGGATTTCTCTTCCCATCTCGCAGGGGGTGAGGGTACGCAACAGGCGAGTGGGGCAGGTGCTTGTCTGGGCAGGCAGGACAGGAGCTGTTGGCATCACCCAGTGTAGAAACCCCGTGAAGGGCACGCCAGGGAGTCCAGGTCAGGGATGTCATCACCGTTCTGCCTTCCTTACCAAACCGGATTTGTCACTTAAGGGGTCAAGCACGGCTCCAGCTCTGAGCCCTCGGCTCCCAGGTCGATTCGACTCCCCGGTCCCGGCTGAGCGGGATGAAGCTGCTGGCTTCCATCGCCTTCCTGGCCGCGCTTGCGGTGGCACTGGGACACCCCGACCCCGCGCTGGACTGGCACTGGCAGCTCTGGAAGAAAACCTACGGCAGGGAGTACCGCCACGAGGTAGGGGCATCTTGGCGGGGTGGAGGTGGCTTGGGGGTGCCGATGTGGTGGGTGCTGCTCCAGCGTGACCATCCGCCGCATCACACAGCGGGGAGAAGAGCCGACGGCGCTTCGAGGCACTGCTGGTCCCCAGGGGTGGTTTGGCAGGGGCTCCCGACAACCTTTTGTGGGATAAAACGGGGTGAAATGGCTGCAGGGGCTGTTGCTGCACACCACGAGGCTGCGTTTGATTTCAGAAAGAGGAAGGGGATCGGCGCGCGACGTGGGAGAGGAACCTGCAGCTCGTGATGCTGCACAATCTGGAGCACTCGCTGGGGCTGCACTCCTACGAGCTGGGCATGAACCACCTGGGAGACATGGTAGGTGCCGGCTGTGCTGCTGAGAAGGGGCTTGTCTTTGTCTCTAATTGCCCGCGAGGTTGATTTAACAAGGAATTTAAGTGGGTCAGGGGTGGAAAAACTCCCAACCCTTCTCAGCCCATCCTCTTCTTGTGGACTCCAGTGGCCGTGGACAAACTGCTCAGACATTCCTGTGTTCAACCTACTGGTGTGAGGCAATCTGGTGTGAGGAAATTACTCCTCCTTAATGCAGCATTTGGGGTGCGCGGACCTGGTCCTGTCATTATATATATTTGCAAATCACCCCTCTTCGATGTTCCAAGGTTGTAGTGTTGTTTAATGAAACATACTTGCTTCTAGGGATTTTTGGCGCTGGAGTTAAGCTTTGTATTTTCTTTTTCTTGCCCTTTCCAATGAACGGCTAGAAATTAAATGTAAAAAGTAAAGAGCCAAGGACTCCACAAACCTTCTAACTCCTGCAGCTCAGACTGTTCAAGGGAAATCCACCTCCAACACACCCAGTGTAGGACTTAACCAGAGACAAGGAGATCATGAGCCGGTGTTTTCTTTTCCCACCAGACCAGCGAGGAAGTGGCGGCTTTGTTAACTGGGCTGAACGTCGCTCCTCGGCCAAACCGGACCTCCACGTACCGACCGCAGCCTGGCGGGAAAGTCCCGGACACGGTGGACTGGAGGGAGAAGGGATGCGTCACGGATGTGAAGAATCAGGTGCGAAGCTCCCTCTGTGCCTCTTCGTGTCTCGGTCCCGTGCTTGGTCTGAGCATCTCTGGGGCTTTTGCCAGGGCGCCTGTGGGTCGTGCTGGGCGTTCAGTGCCGTGGGAGCCCTCGAAGCCCAGGTGAAGCTGAAGACGGGGAAGCTGGTGTCCCTGAGCACCCAGAACCTCGTTGACTGCTCCATGATGTATGGGAACAAAGGCTGCAGTGGAGGTTTCATGACCAATGCTTTCCAGTACATCATCGACAACCAAGGGATTGACTCGGACGATTCCTACCCCTACACGGCTCAGGTAGGCATCGGACCTAGACAGCACGTGAAATCTGCAGAACACATGAGCGTGGAAGCAACACGGCCATTCGTTCTGCTCTCCTGCGTAGACACCCTTCTCCTCTCCCACTGATTTCCCTCTGTCTTGGTTTCTACCAGTCTCGTGTCACGTTCTCAGCCTTTGCAGCTGATTCTTTCAGAGCCGGGGGAGGGACCTTTAGACTTTTTTTTTTCCTCATAGGTGAATGACTGGACTGGGAGCCAGAATTTCTGCATGTTTATTTCTGTCCTACAGAGGCAATGTACTACACGGAAGGGAAAAATGTGACAGGAGTCCTGGGTCCTGTTCTCAGCTCTCTATATTATTCCATCTTCTGTAGTTGAAAAATGGGATATTAATATTTCTACCATTTCAGTGGGCAGAGGTTTCCGGTGAACGACGTTCATACAATCGGGTTTTTAAAAGTTGCCTGTAACAGATGCTGTATGACTGCTGCAAGGTCGTAAGGAAAGAGCCATAAGAAAATAAAGATCCTAATGCTGAGAGCCTTGATGGCCGGAGACAAGAGAGGCCCTGAAATGACCTGGTGTCTTGAAAACATGGCCTGTGGAAACAGGTCAAAGTAACAGCAGCTCAGTCCAAGAGAGAAAAGTGGAATACAAGTCTTCAAACATGCATAAGGCAGCTACAGAGACAAAAGACGCCGTTCTCTGTGTCCAGAGGGAGAATGAGAAGCCATGGGCTTAATTTACAATAGAAGAAATTTAGGTTAAACACGACGAGGAGCCTTCTGATGGGATGGATGAGGAAGCAAGGACAGTTTCTCTAGGGAAGTGCTAGAAGTATTGTGATTAGAGGTTTCTAGAAAAAAGGCAGCGAATTCTGTTGAAATGGTTTGGCCGCTCTTGGTGTGGGGAAGTGAGATAGACAAGATGGTCTCTTCAGGTCCTTCCAGCCATCTTCTCTGTAATCCTGTGTATAGAAAAATGGTGGTCAAAGAAAAGTGAAGAACGGGGTAGCGCAGGGTAAAAGAGGGCTGATAGAAAACACGTTCCTGAAAGTCTTGAGATGTTCCTGGTGAATTCTTCATGCTCCTCTTCTCAACCTCCCCTTGTTCCCACCAGAATGGCACATGTCGATACAATGCTTCCACACGAGCTGCCACTTGCTCCAAGTACGTTGAGCTCCCATACGCCGACGAAGCCGCCCTGAAAGATGCTGTAGCCAACATCGGACCAGTCTCTGTCGCCATTGACGCCACCCAGCCCACCTTCTTCTTGTACAAGTCAGGTATGTCCTTTTACCCCGGAGATCTTCTTCACAGCCTTCTGTGTCTCTCTGCGCATAAAGCTTATGAAGTTTGGTGGAATTTGGCAAGTTGGGGCTTAATTCCTGGATGAAGGCACCAATATGACAAAACCTAAGGTAGCAGCGTTAGTGACTATGCTGCAGGTTGAATTCGGTCCCGCTGACGACTCAAAGACGAGGTCTTCTGGCCTGATGACACGCTTCCAAAACTCCTTTTCTTCCAGGTGTGTATGATGACCCCCGGTGCACACAGGAGGTGAATCACGGAGTGCTCGTGATCGGCTACGGCACCCTAAATGATAAGGATTACTGGCTTGTGAAAAACAGGTAGAGGCATGACCGTATGTCACCAAACTCTTGTTATCTATATGCTCACTATCTATAGGGGTAGGCTTCTCCTAGGCAACCTCCCACCGCTCAGACTGACATCCTCACAGTTCTGTAACGACCGGTATTTGTACAGATGAGAGGGAGATCAGTTGGGTGCTTGTGCAATGGGGGGTGTTGTAGAGTTGAAAGTTGGTATTGGTCCTTCAACTGTTCCCTAAGGATTCACGCTTAGCCACGTCAAAGCATCCTAGCAGCGTGAGGGAACTGTAAATGCGTTTCAAGTACACTTACACCCGCCTTAAGTTCCCTTCATGTTGATGAGCGTTGTCATAACTTAACACGGGATTAGAAATCCCGTGAAGCAGTGAATGAAAACACTTCAAGGCTGTGATGTTGATAAAGCTGCCGCTTCACTTACAGAAAAAGGAATTCAATTTTTCTCATGTCTGTCTGTTTGTTTCCGGTCCCAACAGTTGGGGCGTGCGTTTTGGTGACGAGGGCTACATCCGCATGTCAAGAAACCACGCGAACCATTGCGGGATCGCCAGTTATGCCTCTTACCCGCTGATATAGACGGACCCTGTGCTTCAGAGAGGACTCCTGGGGCTGCAGTTAAACCACTGATCCGTGGCTCACATGGATCCACTGACTTCAAGAATCATTTTCTGGCTCTGTGGGCAAACTCCTTCTGATAGGTCAGCCTGTCTTACAGGCTGGGAAGGAGTCCTTCACGTGGGAGGATTTTGGAATACGATTTGCAGGCACCTAGTGACTTCTTTTGGGGGGAAGAAAGGGTTTCTTTCAGAGTAAAACTGCGATACCTACAGTTATAATGGGGACCACGTTTTCCTCTCTCCAGTTTCGCGTTGAGTACTGCTACGATGACACAAATACTTTCTCTCTGTGTGACGTTGATGAGATCGCAGAATTTCTTTGAAAAATAAAAGATCGGTTTCACTGTCCAAAAATCCTATATTTGGTCTCCGGAGGCAGGAATGGCTGGCAGAGGGAATTCCAGCTGGTACTTTCTCACCTGGCAGAGCTCCCCCATGTAAGGACCTCTCACAAAACCTCTCCACAAATGATGTTTCTCTCCAAACGGTGCCTATGATTTGGGAAGGGAGGGTACAGACCATCGCACCGCTGCCGAAAGTGTGGGGGGAGAAAGTAGCCGATGTCCGTGGTTTCACGTTGATGTAAGTTCTCACGATGACGATACCGAAAAATAAACGCTGGCACTGCAGGTCCATCGCACCCACGCAACACAACCCACCATCAAGCCCGGCGCTTGTTTCCGACAGGGGTGGCAAAACCCATTCTGAAAGAAAAAGGTTTTCATGTTAAACCTTTCGGTTGAGATCGCAAGCTCACCAACCCTTTTTTCTTTAAATTTCTGTGGTTACGGTAGGCTTTAAAAAGCGTCTCGTGGACTGTTTCAGTGAAAAACGTTGAGAATCCTTTTTCTCTCTCGTTGGGCGCTGTGCTGGCCCGAGGTGGCACTGCCACCTGGGGGGCGACGGGGGAATTGAACGGGTCTCCGTCTGCAAGGTGACGCTGGAGAACGCTCACATCACCTATCGAAATTACCTCACAGTGGCCTTTGCAGGTGCGATGGAGCTCTCCAGATAGGTTATTGTTGGGTTTTTTTAAACCCTTTTGCCAAAGCATTGCTCACTCTTAAAACCCTATCGACTGAAGACGTCTCCTTTCCAAGCGTGGAGATCTCTGTAGACCACTGAGCGCCTACAGCTCCAGCTCTGGCCTTGGAAGGGGATCGAAAACCATCATATCTTCAGCAAAAACATCAACCGGCGACGAGCTGATGGGCCAAGACGCCTCCGGCCACGAAGGAAAAAAAAAATATTGTGACTTAACACAAACGTACAGACTGGAGGGTACTGGGGGCGTGGGGAGGGTTCTCGCAGGTGCTGGGTAGGTACAGGTGGCACTGGGAGGGTCTTGAGTGGCTCTTGGGGGTCCTGAAGAGTTTTTAGGGTGTACTTGGGTGCTCAGCAGGGTTACTGGGAGGTTCTGGGATGGTCTTGGGAGCTCTGGGGCGTTCTGGAGGCTTGGGGAGGGCTGGGGGTTGCTCCAAGGGCACTTGGAAGGTCCTTGAAGTCTTTGGAGGATATGGGAGGGCTCTGGGAGTGGATTGGGGATATTGGGAGGGGCTCTGGTGGGTACCGGGAGGCTCCGGGAAGGTCTTGGAAGATACTGAGGGGCTCTGGGAGGGTCCGGGGGGTTTTGGGGAGGGTGTGGGGGGGGGGGCTCTGATGAGGGTGCTGGAGAAAGCTGGAGGGTCCTGGGTGGCTCTGTGGCGTACTAGGGGCTCTGGGAGGGTATTGGGGGGACTTTTGAGGGTAGTGGGGATCTGGGGAGGTACTGGGGGCACTAGAAGGGTCCTGGGGCTGTGGGTGGGTACTGGACGGTGCTGGGTGGGTCCCTCCTCAGGCTTTCTTTGCATCCCAGAGCACTCTTTTTGTCCTCTGTGCTAATTAGGATGCCTCTATTCAGTCCCCCGCCCTCTGAGAACTGATGTTCTCTGCTCAGATCCCCCCTGAGTTCCTCTTTTCCTCCCCAGGCTTCCTTTTGTCCCTGTAAGGGCCTTAGGACCCTTTGAGTGCCCTCACAAGTCATTCTCCGGCTTTCCTTGTGCCCCAGAGGACTCTCTGTGCCTTTTATTCCCTCTGGGATCCCTGCTTTGGTCTTTGAGCCCCTCTAGAACTTTTAACCCGAGTCCAAAACAGAGCCCAGGGCTAACACGCACCCCCAGCTACGGCTCGGCCAGGACTGAAGGCTTTTTTCAGCAGTCACATTCCCTTGGCAGCCCCTTCTCAGCCCCCAAACACTGGGGCTCTTCGCTTTCTCTCTCTCCAAAACGCAACCTTCACCCTAAACCGAGGCGGAGCCCAGGAAGGACGCGGGCCTCCATCCATCGCTCCCGCGCAAAAGCAGCCAGGACTAAAAGCTTCTGGCAGCCCTCACCTTTCCCTGTCAGCCCCTTTGCAGCCCCACAAACGTGGGGCTCTGCCCTTTCTCTCCCAAAAACCCCGGCCCGCGCCCCAAACCCCAGCCTGACCCTTGGGAAGGCCACAGCGAAGCCCGGCAAAGATCCCAGGGCTCTCTGGAGGGCAGCAGGGCCCATTATGGGCCCCAGCAAAGCCTGCTGAAGGCCTCGGGGCTCTCTGGAGGGCAGCAGGGCCCCCTGCGGGCCATGGTAAAGCAGTATATTTTTTAATTAAAGGTGGCGTTTGCGGATGCTTCTGGTGCGGGGCAAGCCCCTGAGTGACGGCCCAGGGCGGGAAGGAGGGCGAGGGCGCGCTCTGCGCATGCGCGGAGTCCCTCGGTTGGGGGGGGGAAAGAACTACATTTCCCAGCGTGCCTTGGGGCGGGGCTCGCAAGCGGCGATCGCTTCCGGTCACCGGCGACTTCCGGTGGCTGTGCCGGTGTTCCG